ATCCTCCTTTTTAAATGTTTCCACTCAGAATTCAGCGGTGATAAAAGTTTGCAGAGATGAAGGAAGTATTCACGTCAAAGTCTGCAGTGGAACATGAAACAAGCGAAGGTTCAGCAAACTCTCAGATATCAGCTAATGCTAGTTATGGTTTGGTTAGCAGGACACATTCCTGTTTCACAGTTACTAATTTTATTTAGAAATGTTTTAATTTTCATAGTGAAAACAGGCGTCTGACAAAGTCACCTGCCTAAAAAACTGAACAGCCAGCTCTTCAGACGGTTTATTTAAGACGAGCCGATGATACTGTCTCTGGGAGCGAACTATTTGTGGATCCCGGTGTAACTAAGCGGCAACCTCAGGTGTTGAAAAATGAAAAACCCTGCAGTTCCTTGAGTGTCCACTAGAGGCTGGCTGCAGAAGCACAGGAAGTCACATACACACCCATTCTAAAAAGCCTGTTTTTACAGCAGAGATGAACATGTTTACAGCCTGGTTCAAAAAACCAAATAGGTGTGATTAGCTCATGTCTCGATGGACACACACTGTACGGGGGGTGAATGTTTTGATGACTCATCAGTTTTGATTTGATGAAGGATAAGAGTTATTCACAATAAGGCGTGTAGCTGACCTGATTGACAGGTGGGCGCGGTGTAACGGTTTGTCAGGAGGTTTAAAACCCGCCTCAGCTCCAGCTCTCAGCATGTCGTTAGGTTGACTGAAAGTTAGACTGAGACAGCATTTCCAGCATGGAGACCGCCATCGATGGGACTCCAGCGCCCCCTGCAGGATCAGACGGGTGACGTCACCCAGGCTTGCCGTTGTTGTCAAAACAAACAATTGAGGATTTTTCCCTCAAACAGAATCCTTACTCCTGTAGTTTTCAGACATTTCCTCTGACTGGAATGTATTTTTTCTTGACGTCGCTCAGTAGCTGTTTATGTTCTGCCGCCTTTTAAACAGACCCGACCTTTAACCTGCATGGTATTACTACATGTATGAGCCATCCAGGACCCTGATCATATGAGCACTTAAAGGTTTCTGACAGACGCAAACTTTCAGCACTCAGCAGAGAATCAGCTCGAGGTCGAGACACTTTACTCATTACGCGGAGCGATGGAGTGTGCCGACTCCTCGCCCGCGTCGCTCAGAGATGCAGATGTGTTGGATGTAAAGAAACCCAAACATCCCTCGTCATCACTTTAAACACACATCGATATATGACATATGAATGTTGTCAGAGGGGACAAAAAAAGGAAAAATCCACAAATTATAATAAAGCCTGTTATGTAATGTTGTGCCACGCAGCCAGTGTTTGGTTCATTTGGCAATTTAAACATAAAGCCGGCATAGAGTTAATGAAACTGCCTTTGGGGGATAAAGTCCATAAGGTCCCATTTCAAAGATGGTGGGGGGTTTAATGTGGTATTATATGCCGGCTCTGCCCCTCATTTCTACTCGACTTGCTCAGAGGAGGAGGAGCTGCCTTTAGTTAATGGAAACCATCTCATTCATCTTTCATGCAACTCTGTGAGTTTCTTCACATCACCGGTTAAAGGTCAGCCGTCTCATCTGAAGAACTGAACTGATGAACTTCTAACCGAGCTCTGAACTCTGACGGTTCAAACCGAGCATCTGAATGAAATGAAAAAAGCAGTCAGGGTTCGATAAGCGGAAGGAGAATGGAAGAGACAAGGTGTGATTTAACCCTTTTAAATGCCAGAATCATGTAATAATTTAAAGGGTTAAATTCCTAACCATTATTGAATGTTTGGTAGTTTTGAGCAGGGCTGAATTTGTTTAAGAGATTTATGCAAAAAAAAGTAGAAAAAAATATTAATCTGTTGTATTTTTATAGCAGTTTTTGTAAACTGGACATTTTCACCCTCCTGTGTCCAAACAGGGAACTACATTTTAAATGTGACGCTACACAAAAACTAACAATGCATCAAAGTCAATACTCTGGATAATCTTTGACATATCCAAGACTGATTTTTTTTTAAAATCCCCCAGCCACCAAATATTTGTTATATGAAAAATAACTCATTTTTGTGTTTTTTCTTTTTTTTTCATAAATAACAACAGTGACATCAAGTAATCAAACTGGCATTTAAAAGGTTAAATTCCTAAAAAAATATTGAATGTTTGGTAGTTTTGAGCAGGGCTGAAGCTGTTTAAGAGATGTATGCAGACAAAATTAGAAAAAATATCAATCTGTTCTATTAACCCATAAAGTACTGATGCTTCTTGAACCTGCATTCAATCTGGTGGCCAGCAGGGGGCGACCCCACTGCTTAAGTACCAAGGACTTAATTCCTATAAAGCTGGCTACACATCAGACGATTTTAGGCCACAGACTGTAAATATTAAAGAACAAAGCCTGAGTGACGTCACCCGTCTGTTCCTGCAGGGGGCGCTGGAGTCCCATCGATGGCGGTCTCCATGCTGGAAATGCTGTCTCAGTCTAACTTTCAGTCAACCTAAGGACAGGCTGAGAGCTGGAGCTGAGGCGGGTTTTAAACCTCCTGACAAACCGTTACACCGCGCCCACCTGTCAATCAGGTCAGCTACACGCCTTATTGTGAATAACTCTTATCCTTCATCAAATCAAAACTGATGAGTCATCAAAACATTCACCCCCCGTACAGTGTGTGTCCATCGAGACATGAGCTAATCACACCTATTTGTTTTTTTGAACCAGGCTGTAAACATGTTCATCTCTGCTGTAAAAACAGGCTTTTTAGAATGGGTGTGTATGTGACTTCCTGTGCTTCTGCAGCCAGCCTCTAGTGGACACTCCAGGAACTGCAGGATTTTTTAAACTTCAGCGTCGGCTTCTTTTTTCAACACTGGATTTTACTACTTGTTTCAGCCGGATAGCAGTAACTCATCACCATATTACAATATTTTGTTTAAAAGGCACATTGATGGGGCGCTGGTGGCGCGTTGGTTAATATGGAGCACTAACCTCCATAGCACTATGGAGGCTGTAGCCCTCAAGCGGGCGGCCCGGGTTCGAGTTCGACCTGTGGCTCCTTTTCCACAATTCATTCCCTACTCTCTCTCTCCCTCTGATTTCTGACTCTATCCACTTTCCTATCTCTACAATAAAGGCGCAAAACACCCAAAATTAAATCTTTAAAAATACGATTTAATCCATGTAACTCATCTGTTTTTATTTCATCTTTTTATGATGAAAAAAACAAAGCTCTATTATTTCTGTCTCTGCTGCTGTGAGACTTTAATTTCCCTGCACGCTTTAAAGACTTTTATCTTGTCAAACGTTTAGTAACAGGTCACCGCTCTTAAAGCTTAAAGTGTGAGTCATCTGCATAGAATCGTTTATCGTGCACTAACATTTTTACATTTGTAGCTGGGGCTGCACGGTGGTGTAGCCGTTAGCGCTGTCGCCTCACAGCGAGGAGGTTCCTGGTTTGAATCCCCGTCTGACAGGAGCCTCTCTGCTTCCTCCCACAGTCCAAACACATGCTCATTAGGTGACTCTAAATTGCCCGTATGTGTGAATATGAGTGTGGCTTGTCTGTCTCTATATGTGGCCAACAGTCCAGGGTGTACTCCGCATCTCGCCCAATTAACGTTCCAGCCCCCCCCCCCGAGTGGGAAAAAAGCATGAAAAGATAATGGATGGATTTGTATATCGTTCTCTCTCTGACAGGTTCGGAGCAGACTGTTTTCATAAGCAGAGTGTCTTTGTCTGTTATAAAAAGAAAAGTGTTGTTGTATGTAATATATTCCGTGGTTGGTTGACGAGAGTTCTGCCCGTCATCTGTTGAGAAATCCTCCTACGGTGGAGATAAAAATACAGAGGGAATGATGAAAATCTTGGTGACCCGAGGGCAGACGGTAGAAGACACGCTGCTCTTTTTGTCAATGAATTAATGATGTTCAGGTCCACATTCAACCTGTAACCTTTTCTTTTCACTCAGGCTGACTAAAATGTCAAATCTGCCGGGGCGGCGCAGCCACAGGCGGCCGCTGCTTTACTGGTAAACACAGACGAGTAAAAGCGGGTTTTAGTTCCTCATTAACGCGGGTCCTGTGTGGTGGTGTGGAGCGACTGACTTGTTCATTACCGGCAGCATCCAGACCAGGAGAGGAATAACATCTCTGAGCTCCTCGCACGGCCGGGATTCTCATTTTTAATGAGTTACAGGTGAAGATTCTTCCACACAGGAAATCAAAATTAAGGTGGGGGGGGGGGGGTCGCCTTTACACCGCCTACCTTCTCTGGTCCAAACAAATCCAGAGCATTCAGGAGCAGAATCTAAAGTTAGAAGGAGGACATACTGGCTGCTGCATTGTTGTCAGAGAAGCCAGCACTTCAACATAGCATGTTTCCTTAAAGGAAGAATGTGTGATTTTTTGATCCAGCAGATGTCGCCCTTGAGCACCAGCATGAAACCAAAACAAGCCTTTAGGTCAGGGACCCTATGTGGGACACCCCTCTTTAAAAACGTCTGGACCCGGCCCTGGATCGTGCCTTTGCAGTCAAAACCTCTAAACTGTGGAACAGCATCGGGTGAAGACTCTTAAGTCCAGCCTGCCTCAAACCTTTTGAGTCCTCTAGGCCGTTGTCTATCAGGTGTTCTGTATTCTTATGATTCTGTAAAGTCCTGTATATCGTTTCTTTCTTTATGTCCACATACTGAATCTAGCTTTATGTGTTATTGAGACTCACCTCGAGGAAAAGTAAACACACCAATCATCACATGTTTTCATTATTGCACAAGCTGCAGAAATGCTGCTCATGAGGTATGATATGATGATTGAATTTGACCTGCTCTGCAGCTGGATTAGTTGAGGTTTAATATGGAGGAATGATCTGTGTTTGGGTCAGCTCCTGAATTAAATTGATTCCTGAAGTTCTGATGTTGGGATTGAACGTCATCTGTGATGTAATGAAATGTTTTTAGAGCCTCTGAAGAGAAAAAACAAAACAAAAAAAACAGAGCAGTACATGAGAAGGTTTTAATTTTCCACTTTATGCATCACACACACAGTCAGAAAGCTTGGATATTTACATTGGCATCATGTTTGTACAATAAGAAAGGTGTTTCACTGGACTGTGCAGGCAAGAAGGAACAAAAAGAAACGTGTGGAACATTTATAAAGTTTATAAATCTAATGAAGCTCACGACAGCACACAGGCCACTACTGCCGGTCAACAAGGGTCTGCACTGCGGGGCGACAAGCTACTGCACTATAAAAGATCACATCTGGTCCACTACAACATCTTCTCTTCTCTCTCCCACGGAACCGGATCCTGCTCCACCTCCACATGCGTATTCCTGCGCCCTGTCCAAAAGTGCTCCACGTCCGGGATGGTCTTCTCCGTGTTCCCTGAGACGGCGTTGGCGACGTCGTTGGCTCCGACTTCCGCTCCGTTTCCCTCCGTTTGGGGACACTTCTTCTTGTTGTTGTTGTTTTTCGGGAGATGCTTGGAGCCTCTGCAGGTCGCGATGAACCAGATGGTGACGAGTCCCTGGCGCACGTCGTCGTACATGGTCATGAGGATCACCGGGGAGAGCGAGCTGCACGCGTAAAGGAGGACCTGCGCGAAGATGATCAGTCCCACGGGAGGTTTGTTGTAGCCGAGTCTGATCCAGGTGAAAGTCCCCCACTCCGGCAGCAGCGTGAGCCCCAGGACGCCGCTCAAACACAGCAGAACCAGGGTGACTTTGCTCTGGTGCTGCGGGCACGGTGCGTGGTTCACCGCGGCGTGGAGCGTTTTTGTGTAGTACGCGATCATGAAGATGACCGGGGCCACGAAGGTCGCAGTTGGATAAATCTTGTAGTACAAACTCATGAAGTCAGACGCGCACATCGGCATCTCAGAGACGCAGATTGTGTCGCGTCCGTGTGGCACCAACGAGGCGAAAAGCATCTGAGGAAGCGGAAGCATCATGGACACAATCCAGATGAACACCAGGGCTCCGTGGATCCACGTCGGGCTGGAGAAGGAGTTCGGGACCAGCACGGTGTGTTTGGCTCGAGTTGTAGAAGCAAGGATTAAAGTCTTTGCAACCACACACGAGTGCTGGAACCAGTCCGTGGTGCTGCACACGAAGCTCCCCAGGGTCCAGGTCTGCTTGTAGTAGGTGACGGCGCGCACGGGGGCGCACAGCAGCAGGATCACCAAGTCCGTGGTGGCAAGAGAGGCGAGGAGCGCTTTCACCTCGGAGCCCTTTCCGTTTCTGAAGTCACGGATGAAAATCAGCAAAACGAGCAGATTCCCAACCGCTCCGGAGATGCAGATCCCGATCAGGATCACGGGCATGGCTGTTCTGGTGTCCTCCCCCTGGAGAAGTTGAACTCCTCCGACGAAATCGAAAAAGGAGACATTTGCCGGTCGATTAACATCCATGTCTTCAACTGTGACTTAAAAGTTCCAGCGACAAACTAATCAGCAAAGCAAAATTCTTTCTTTTCCACTTTCTGTCCTGCAGCTTTCTGGTCCTGGAGTGGAGGAGCTGTCCAGGGCGCCGCGGTGCTGAAACGCTGCTAATGGGGTCGTGATCGCGTCAGCAAGTGGGAGTGCGGGCTGCCAGGTAGGGCTATTTCAAGTGCTGCCATTTAGCGTCGTCGTCAACCACTCACGTCACTTCATCAGTGTGGCTCCTCCAGGCTGCAGCCAGCCCAAATGTGAGCGCAGCGGGATGTGATTTACATCTGAAACCCTCATGAGGGATCCCGGCTGGAATCAAAGTGACACATTATCTCTTTAGATTTAAAATAAAAATGTATAAGTGAATAAAAAAACAACAGGAGTCTCTTACAAATGGATAACATGCTGTGTTTAAATAATCATATGATGCTGCGAAAACATGAAATAAAGCAGATAGAAAAGCATGCAAAAAAGGGTAAACATCCCTTAAATACATTTAAAATGTCAGGTTATGAAATCAACATGTGCAGCAGCAAATATATGACAGAAGAATACCCAACTAATGCTAAACTCTGGTCTTTGGAGCAGCTGTGTGTGCAGACTTTGGACTGTGGGAGCTTAACTGGGGTGCTGACTTATGCATCAGTGGCATACAGTATGTGCACACATGATTATATTTTATTTATTTACCTTTTCTATTTCCTCTATCTACTTTGAAGTAACAAAAAAGATGGTGACATGTAAATCTAGAAGAAGCAGAGCGGGATTTTCTGGCTCAACTTCACAAACTACCAACGTGCATGAAGACAATTTGTAGTATGAAGATCAACTTTATCTAGAAATAAGACTGAAGTGTTTCAGCTTGTGGATCAGTTGGTAGAGTCGGTCATCTCCTATCAGGAAGGCCGGGGGTTCGATCCCCAGCTCCTGCAGCCACATGTACAATGTGTCCTCGGGTAAGACACTTAACCTCAAGTTGCTCCCGCTGCTTCGTCGGCAGTATATGAATGGGATTAGTTCATTCTGATGGACTCTTTACTCAGCAGCCTCTACCATCAGTGTGTGAATGTGTCGGTGTGACCTGCGGTGTAAAAACTCTTTGAGAAGTCAGAAGAATAGGAAAGAAATTTACAAGCTCAAGTCCATTTACCATTTACCATATATCAGAGACATACAAATCTTCAACCTTTATCTTTAACTCAAACAGATGTTATCCAAAGTCACAAAAATGTTCATGCAAACTCCTGCAAACTGTGACAGAGTTTTCAAATGTTTGTGGACTTGTTTCCTTTCCTTTGCTCCTCTCTTATAAGATAGATATGTAAAGT